TAATTGGAACAGTGAGTGAATAATACCAAGGGCCCAGGCAACAGCCAGAAACAAAATGCACATCTGTGGGTTCATGATCGTCAGGTAGTGAAGAGGTTTACATATGGCCACATATCTGTCAAAAGCCATGGCTATGAGCAGCACCATCTCCACACCACCAAGGACATGGATGAAGAAGACCTGAGTAACGCAGCCTCCAAAAGAGATGACTTTGTGCTTTCTGAAAAGGTCATAAATCGTCTTGGGGGAGGTAGTGTTGCAGGCCCCAAGGTCAATGAAGGAGAGACTGGCCAGTAGGAAGTACAGAGGGGAATGTAAGTGAGGATCACTGGTCACAGAAAACACAATCAGGATGTTTCCAGTCATGCTTGCCACATAGAACACAGAGGAGAACACCAAGAGGAAAAGCTGGCTCTCCCATGAATTGGTGAGTCCCAGAAACACGAACTCAGACACCACAGAGTGATTCCCTCCGTCCATTGAGCCAATCAATAGAGCTGCCCCTGAAATTATGAGAATTAAGAAAATGAGGAGGAAAATTTGATTATTAGGGATGAGAGTGACCTTAATCATTTATGTAGCAATGTTCACATTATGAATGAGAATTACCCAGTCATCTAATTCTTCACACTTGCTCTATAATGATGATGATGATGATTATAGTAACAATTATGACATAAACACAACTTAAGAGCACACATGATGATTAGAACTATCAGCAAAATCTCTCATAGCCTCAGATAATAATTAGTCAAGAACAAAAGCTTCACAGGTAACTGAAGCAAGAAATAAAACATACAGGCAAGAATGCGCCCTTATTTGCAAAGAGAATAGTGAATATTATTAGCATAGTTTGCTTAGAAAAATACCTCCTGGGGAGAGGGCACGATTGGCAAAAAAAAAAAAAAAAGTACAACACGGTTTTAGCTGCATACAAATACAGTACATGCGAACAATTTTTTTAATTGCCCCCAAAGAGCAATTAGGCAGATTTTCATACCATAACTGACCTTACTTTTCCCTCTCAAATACTTTCCATGTCCCCGTTATGCTTACTTTCATATAATCCACTCCACAGAATTTATACTCAAAAAGAAGGGTTGAGGGGAAATATTATGATTAATTGATGGATTACCCCCGGGAATGAGGATTATCTGAAACATGAGATGTGACTGAACTAAGAAGAAGGAAACAAAATATTAAGATGTGTGTTGAGATTAAGATAAATAAAATCGGGGTATATGAAATATTACATCCAGGTAAGAGCTGCAGCAGAGGGGAGAGTATGTATGTCTTGATTGAATTTTGTCCCCCAAAAGTAAGTCTATCAATTTGGCAAGGCCATAATTCCCAGTTTTATGTGAGTATCCACCATTCTGTCATCTGATGTGATTTTCCTATGTGTTGTAAATCTTATCTCTATGATGTTGGTGAGATGGGATTGGTTGCAGTTATGTTAATGAAGCAGGACTCAATCTTCAAGATTGGATTATGTCTTCAGCCAATCTCTTTCGAGATATAAAAGAGAGAAATGAGGAGGCGGGGCCAAGATGGTGAAGTAGTCAGACCCTTCTGGTAGTCCCGCTTACAAAAAAGACCAGAAAAAACAAGTGATTCCATTATATATGGCAATCTGGGAGCCCTGAACATCAAACGCAGAGCTGAGGAACTGGACTGAGTGGCAGGGGGAGGGAGAGACAGTTCGGAAGCAGCGAGGAGTTGCCAGATCTGACCCGCTGAGAGCCTAAGCCCTTCAGGCCTGACCAGCTCATGGGTGAGCGGTGAGGCGGGCAAGGAGCCTTGCTCAGGAGGTGTTTTCTGCACCAGGAGATACCCACAGCCAGCGAGTCTACATGGCCACTGAGTACAAATGAGAAGCAGCCCTCTACGAAAGATAAGTACTTGTGTACGGCCTACCACACAGATCAAAAACACCCCCTTAGGGAAACACCTCTCTCCCATTTACCTCCCCACTCCCTGCTCTGTACTGGGTCCTGTACTGCCTTCAGCAATTGCTTAGTCCCCTGAGCTAGAAGTAGGATCCGTCACACACTCGGAGCCATGCTCCCTCCCTTGGAGAGTGAACAAATTAACAAACAGGGGAAAAAATAAACTGCTGGATCCCCT